TTGCACACATTATTCACCGATACATCACACAGTCCTAGACACTTCGGAAATGTCCGACGTGTGATCCAATTCAACAGCCAGCAGAGTGTCTGCTGTGGACTCATCTTGTTGTGTTTCAAATAATAATAATAATAATAATAATAATAATAATAATAATAATAATAATAATATATTTATAATATGCCCTCTCCTCCCAGAGGGACTCAGGGCAATTCACTCCATCCTGTGAGAAAAGGGGGTATAAATCAGTGAATTGTTACTATCCCCATAATCAAACACATAAATGTGTTAAATATTCAAGTAACAACAAACTGTAGCAGTGGAGTATTGTGTGGTTTCCAGGCTGTATGGCTGGGTTCTAGCAGCATTTTCTCCTGATGCTCTGAAGATGCCAGCCACAGATGCAGGTGAAACATCAGGAGAAAGTGCTACTAGAACCTGGCCATACAGTCCTGAAACTGTATAACACTTCAGTGATTCCGGCTGTGAAAGCCTTCAACAATAAAATAAACTGTAGCAGTTATTGTATTTATCATGAAGTGTAAAGTTAATGGTTTTTAATGGCCATTCCTAAATACTTTGCATAAGAGGAATAGCTCGCAACAATATATTGTTGCTGGGAAAATCCCTTCCTCACCTTACTGTATGAATTTCTGTTAAATTCATACAGGGGAATTATGGGAGTGGGATGGGAAATAATATTAGTGTATCTATGAATCCAAAAGCCCCAGCATTCTGGCCCTATGAGCTCTGTCTCCATTGCACCATTGCATGCTCCCAAAGTGTAGCTGTTACTTGCCTGTGGTGAATAGGCAATAGCACCCCTAATGCTACCTTTTTAGAAAGCATTTAGGTTATAACATTATTTGCCTATGTATAGTTTGTACAGCTCCCTCAGTTAAAAGTAGAAATGTTCCTTTTTAAAATCCCTGCCCACATTTTGATTAGAAAAGCAGTGCTTCTTTCATATTGCCTTGCACTGAGTCATACTTCATGGAAGTTATGTTGTGTTACCTTATTAAAGTTTTTACCTTTGATAAAGAAACACCGCCTAACCTTTTCTAGCTGAAAGGGACAATGTAGTTATGTTCCAGAATAACTACATTGCAGTTTAAATATCCTGGGGTAAATTGGAGTTAATTGGTTACATTTCATGCCAGTCTGATTTTGAAAAATGGAAACCTCAAAGGATGTTCCAGATAATGCTGACAGTAAATTTCTAATATATACCCGGTGTAGCCTGCATGCTGAATTATGTAACGCTGGGAGTCTGCTGGCCTCCATTTAAATCTATTGCAACCTCCTCTATGGGAAACCATTGCCTAGCTGCCAGATTTGTCAGAGGAGCAGGTAGGGCATTGTTGTAGTGATCGTATGCCAGCATCATGACGGAGTCTATTGGACTTCCTTCAGTAGCATTTAAAAGAAAAATATATATTTCTGGATATTGTTTGACAACCTATGTTCTTGTGTAGAATTAGGCCAATTAGAGCATTCATGAACCCAGCAGAAAACATTTTATTTATTTTTAAATACCCCCCCCCCCCCAAATTGAAGGACTCAGAGCAGCTACAGCATAGCTGAAACATCAGTAAGTGTGGCTTTGAAATTTCATCTGAACTTTAACGGAGAAATCCAAGGGAGTAGTTATGAGGGATGTAGCAAAATGAGAACATTGCTGTCCCCCAAATAATAATTCTGGCCCAGACAAACTGTGTCCCAGATTTCTAGCATTTAAGAAAATGAGATGCTGAAAATTGTTCACATCTTGAATTCTTATATTAGCTGTATTTGCATACCTTGGGTACCTTTTACCTGCTCCTGTTTTTTTTTTTTGATGCCCACTTTTCTAAACACTCAGCTGAGTTATTGAGTTATTTCAATGCTAGAAATTGGTGTCATGAAGGTAAATTTAATATGGACCTGCAGAATTTTTATTTGCAGAGCCAGTGCTCTTGTTTTATCCCTCCTCCAAGGCTAGGCTCATGGAGCTATCCAAGGTGCTGAACCCATTTGGGGACAAGGCTATTTAACATTTCGATTAAAACTCCTGGCAGATACACTATCATTTGGCAAGGAAGCCACCTACAGCCACTGACATACTATGTATTTGTCTGCTTGTTTCTCTATTTATTTTATTCATTTATTTTTCTACCATTTTCTAGACTCAACTAATGAGTCTAAAAACGATGCAGATTAAAACTATATAAAACATCAATAAAAAGTATAAAGATAAAATTTATTTAGAAACTAAGCGATTTGTAAAATTAAAACCACTACAATTCATTGAGAGACTATATTAAAAAATCAACAAAACAGCAAAGCACTCCTTTAAAAAGGAATAAGAATGTTTTTACTTAACAGTGGAAGGAGAGCAAAGAGGGAGCCTTCCTAGCTTCCTTAGCGAGTTCCTATGTGTGGGAGCAGTCACTTGTTTCCACTAAATGAGCTTGAGAGGAGCTGGGACTGCAAGATGGTGGCAAGTGATAGTTTCTTTTAGCCCTGCATTTAGAGTTCCAGGAGCCCCCGGTGGCGTAGTGGGTTAAAGCGCTGAGCTGCTGAGCTTGTTGATCGAAAGGTCCGGGGAGCGGCGTGAGCTTCCACTGTCAGCCCTAGCTTCTGCCAACCTAGCAGTTCGAAAACATGCAAATGTGAGTAGATCAATAGGTACCGCTCAGGTGGGAAGGTAACGGCGCTCCATGCAGTCATGCTGGCCACATGACCTTGGATGTGTCTACGGACAACGCCGGCTCTTCGGCTTAGAAATGGAGATGAGCACCACACCCCAGAGTCAGACATGACTGGACTTAATGTCAGAGGACAACCTTTACCTTACCTTAGAGTTCCAAGAAGGTTAAAAAGGAGGAATGTAATTCATATAATACCTCAGGGTGACTGCTTTTGGACCTGGGAGATGGAAATTTGGGAAAGTGAGGAAGGGAAAGGGGCAAGTTAGTACAAGCAGTGCCCAAGTTACAAACATCTTTCTTACAAATGGCTCATAGTTAAGAACGGGGCTGAGATAACAGGAAGTGAGAGAAATCTACCCCTAGGAAGGGAAAAATTATTATGGGAAAAAGGTGTCTCCACTGAAGCTTTATCTCCAATTCTCAATTCCACAACAAGCCAATTTTTTTTCAAAATCCAATTATCACAAGGACAGAAAGTGCGGTGAAATCTTTTGAACATGGGTACAGAGTGGAAAACAAATGCCACAGAGGTGTTCACCCTTCCCTATGGCATCCAAAGCTCTCTCTCTATCTCTATCTCTCTCTAGCTGGAGTTCCACTGAAAAAATGTACCTGTTCCTACTTACAAATACATTCAACCTACAGAACCTATCTTGTTCTTAACTTGGGGACTGCTTGTACTAAGTTCAGATTTTGGTGGATTTCCTAAAGTTTTCTATTGGATAAAACAGGAGATGTGAACAAATGTGAGCACTGCTGAGGACCAAAGTGTACTAACAATGATGGCCCTTTTTATAGGGCATAAAACTGCATTTTTCTTTTCAGGAATTTTTTTTCTGTACAGAAATGCTGTTTTTGACACACAAAAAATTCCACATGCATTTTTTTCACACAAAGTTCTAAAATGTAGAGATTGTAAATCTTTGCAGTGTTCTCATCAGGATTTCCTAATACATTTTTCACCATTGTTTTTGAATATTTCAACATCTGCAGGGCTGTATATTTCCCTCTACTGAATTTTATTAGACTCAATTATAGTTATGCATTCATTGTTTAATTCTGCTTCATCTGATTCAAAATAATATTTCACAGCCTATGAAATGTCTTTTTAGAAATATCCATCTGTAAATACGAAATACAACACTGTCTGAGTTCTACGAGTGCAGCATTTTTTCTAATGAAGTAGGGGCTGTTCGAGGATCAGAACATTAATAGAGATACTAGGATGCTTGTTTATAAAGCCATTGTCCTTCCAACTCTATTGTCCACCTGCAAAACATGGATCATCTACAAACATCACTCTCAACTTTTGATGATTCCATCAATGTCGCCTTTGAAAAATCCTGCAAATCTCTTGGGAAGACAGGTGGACAAATGTCAATGTGCTGGAAGAAGCAAAGACCACCAGCACTGAAGCAATGATTCTCCATCATCAATTTTGGTGGACTGAGCACATTGTCCAAATGCCTGATCACTGTCTCCCACTGTCAGCTCAAGAATGGAAAACGGAATGTCGGTGGACAGCAAAAAAGACTTAAAGATGGGCATAAAGTTAACCTCAAAAATGTGGAATAAACTTAGAGAACTGGGAAGCCCTGGCCCTTGAGATTCATAAATGGAGGTCAGCTATTATCAAAAGTGCTGTGAATTTTGAAGAGGCACGAATAGAGGGCGAAAGGGAGAAATGTACCAAGAGGAAGGTACTTGACAAACTATTGTCGGGACCACCTTCCATCTGGAAATGTATGTCCTTACTGTGAAAGACCATGTGGATCCAGAACAGGTCTCTACAGTCACTTACGGACCCACCACCAAAACTTTACCCTTGGAAGACAATCATTCTTGGCCACAAGTGATAGCCTATGATGAGGATGCATTCATTTTTGAGTTCTGCTTCAGCAGATACAAAATAATATTTCACATCATATAAAATGTATTTTAAAAATAACCATCTGAAAATGATGTTACCAAGCAGTTTGTATGTCTCACTGTATCAAAGGATTGCCTGAAACGTTGGGTCAGTTATTATTTTCAATCAGAAAGGTTTATGGAAACCTTTTTTGGAGAAGGGTTGAGCTTTTGTTTTGGCAGTCATGAGCTTTTACATTGCATAGAGTTTTGGTATCATTGTATTGTTGTCTTCTATGTGCTAAGGATGCAGTAATCTCTAATAATTACTCATCTGTTGGAATTCTTCCATCTTATGGAAAACAACTGCTATTTTAATAATGACTTGAGTCAATTAAAAGGTAATACCAAAAGTACTGAATCGGTGAATGGAATTAATATTTTGCATTATTTATCCTGCAGGTATCCTGGAATTTATCAGTATAGCAGTGGGCCTGGTCAGCATTCGAGGGGTAGACAGTGGACTTTATCTTGGAATGAATGAGAAAGGGGAACTTTATGGCTCGGTAAGTTTCTTACAGTTTTTTTTAAACATTGGCCTCACTATGCTTTAATTGAGTTAAATTGTTGTGATCATTGTGTCCAAGTCAAGAGTGCATAATATGTAGTTGAATTGCCTGAAGCCTTTGGGCAAATTTCAAAAGGATGGCAGAGAGCAGGAAAAGAAGAAATTGGGTAACTCAACTTATTACTGGCATAGAACTCACAACATTTTACTTATGAGTAGGACTGGTAATTCAGGATTATCTGAGGTTTCCAAGCCAAAATTTAAGACTAGGGAAGGTCTCTCCTGATGTCATTAAGTATCAGTCACAGCTCCTCATATCTGGCCATTCACACATGCACACAAAAAGAACATATGTTCCTATTTAGAAATTAAGACTTAAACTTTCAACCAAAGTTGCTGTTCTCAGATCAAGGGGAAATGTAGGAATTATTCCTCCTTACTTACTGAGAGAGATGATATAACTTAATCTAACCTGCTTGCTTCTAGCCAGAAATGGATGCAGAGCAGAGTAGGGAATGATGCCTGGCATCGCAGTAGCTAGGAGGGAAGGAAGAAGCTAAGTAAATAGACTGCCTGGAGAGACTTTGCAAGTTGCAGCAACAAATCAAGTAAGCTGCTCCATTTAGTTGGAGATTTGCATATACAGTAGAGTCTTGCTTATCCAACTTTCGCTCATCCAACATTCTGTATTGTCCAACACTGTCTGCCTCCCGCCCAGATCCACAGCTGTTTCAATACATTGTGATGTTTTGGTGCTAAATTCGTAAATTACTACATAATGTTACTGTGTATTGAACTGCTTTTTCAGTTGAATTGTTGTAAATCATGATGTTTTGATGCTTCATTTTTAAAATCATAACGCAATTTGATGTTTAATAGGCTTTCTTTAACACCTTATTTTCCAACATTTTTGCTTATCCAACTTTCTGCCGCCCTGTTTATGTTGGATAAGTGAGGCTCTACTTTCATCTTATCTGGAACTGAATTCATTGAAAAGAGAAGATTTGTATCATTTTTACCCACCTGGAAATAAATCATGAAAACCTGATACTCAGGATCAGGTCTTGAGATCTGGGAAAGCTACCTAAGGCAGAGAGAATGTTTACCATGCTAGAAATATACCCAGGGCATATTCAGGTGTATATCTGAACTCCTGGGGAAACTCTGAGAGTACAGGAATGGTCTGACCCAACTGTTTGCACCTTTTGAAGATAGTAGTCCTTGCATTTGGGGAAGGAGTTGGGAGGAGGCATTTTCAATTGTAGAAAAGGTAGGTTCTAAGAGGAACCAAGGGAAATAATTAAGAGGGAAGATCTTTAGTGATACACAGAAGAGGGATCAACACATTTTGATTTAAAGCTGAAGAACCCCAGGAATAATTCAGAGACTCAAAAGTCTTAGCCCCCTTCTACACTGCCATATAATCCAGATTATCAAAGTAGATAATCCACATTATCTGCTTTGAATGGGATTATATGAGTCTACACTGCTATATAATCTAGTTCAAAGCAAATAATCTGGATTTTATATGCAGACAGGAAGGGCCAGTTTGGCCAATATATGAAGTCAGTGATCTTCAGGAACCATGGGCCCTTCCACACAGCTCTATTTCCCAGAATATCAAGGCAAAAAATCCCACAATATCCGTTTTGAACTGGGTTATCTGAGTCCACACTCAGATAATGTGGGATTTTTTGCCTTGATATTCTGGGATATAGGGCTGTGTGGAAGGGCCCCATGTTGTTTGCTTTTTCAAGCTGCTGCATTCTGCCTCATCACTCTCTGTGATGATGGAGTGATAAATGAATCACAGAATTTTGTTCCATTTTTGATTTGTTAAGTTGTCCAAACACAGACACTTCTTCTCTGGTTTGTTTCACTCTCAGTAAAGGCAAGAAAGAATTTAGATTTGTTTCTGTAGTTGAATTGGAGAGAAACAAATCAAGGAATAGAAAATGCCCATGTTCTGATGGCACAACAAACAAACTGTCTCCTGAACTGGACTGAAGAATAATTCCCCAGAGGCAAGACATAAGATGAAGGGAAGGATAGGAAGTGACTCAGCACAATGGTGCAGAGATGGCAGGAAAGATGCGTATACAGTAGTTAAGAATCAGAACTGCTGTTGGTTAAATAAAATGTTTTATATAACTATGAATCTTTGTGGTGACATTGCATTTGCATCATGTTAGGGTTGTATGTGCTCATATGAAAACTTCCCCTTCTCTGGCAGCTAGATATGTGTTATGGAACAGTATAGTAATTACTTAGAATGTGAGCAGTACTTGAAAAGCATAGTTGAGAAGACTGCATATATTCTGCAATAATGCTATGTCTACTTTGGAATTCTTTAGGATTACTGTGCAAGGCACTAGTTGGCTGACTCTACATTTTATGATTTTATGAATGTATAAACCAAACAAATGTGGTACTGTAAGGGCGCTTCCAGATAGGCCCCAAAATGCAGGGCCTGTCAGGCTTTTACCTGAGCCATCCAAACAATGCTCGGTTCTAATGGGGTATTGGGACTGTAGGGACTGACTACCGGGTAGTCCTGGGACTAGCCAGGGGTCAGTCCCCAGTCACAGCCCTCTTGGTTTATTGGGCTCCATGAGCCCAGAGAATGAAGAGGGCACCCCCTGGCCCAACCCTCCCAATCCAGCCTTAAAATTAAAGAAAACTTACTGGGCCTCTATTGTGCTCCTCTGGCAATCCTTCTGGTGCACAGAAATGATGTGCCAAGAGGCAGGGAAGGAGGAAAATTTCTTTAATTTTAAGGCTGGTTGAGGAAGGAGGGGTTTGGGTGTCTGGGAAACATCCCACTGGGAAAGCCCGGTTTTCTTTGGGAGGGGGTGTGGGACAGAAATGCATGCCAAAGCGGGTTTTAAAAACCCACTTTGTTGCGCATTTCTGTCAAGCCTAGAAGCATCCTAAGGGTCCAATCTTACATACATTTAGGTGGCAATAAGTTCCACTGAGCTGAATTGTCACTCAGTATATTTGTGTGGCGGGAATTGTATTGTGTAGTGATTTGAATGGTTAACTAGGGCCCTTTCTATACTGTCAGATCAAAATTGATTTGCAGGCACCGCCTCCACCACAATAAATTTTCCTGACAGTATATCTGTATTGTTAGTTGTGTGATGGCTCAGTCATGCACACAAGCCATCACATGAGGTGTGTTAGAGGATACCACCAGTTCTTGTTGAGTTGCTACATCATCATCCATCCTAATTGTACATTCATGAGAAAGAAAGTTAGGAAAGCTACGCTTATTCATGAATTGTGCAGCAGGAAGAAATGTATCTCTTTATCATCTCTTTATTTCCAGCCTTTGAATTATAAAAGAAACTCTCAGACACTCCATGGGATTTAGATACATAGGACTGAACCATGGTAGTTAAAACAGAATCACAGTAGTATAGTTGCACAATATGAATGGGTCCTGGATATGGGTCCACAATATAGCCCAAGAACAGTACAGTCTGCCTATACATGTGTCTATACTGAGATAGTTTTCACTGGAGTTTATTACTGCCAGGAATTGTGTATGGGATTATGGGATTGCTGCCCAAGTAAACTTAAAAGTTTTAATATAATGAAGGGGTCCTGCAGTTTTAGTATTTTAAGAGCACATTATTGCATTATAAACAGGCCAGTATTAAGATTTATAAAAGTATTGTATCCAATATTTTTGTGTCTGAAAAGGAAATATTTAAATATTCTGTAAAGGAGGGCATGAGGCTGGTTTCCTAGACCAAAGAAATGGATTTGGAAATGTGTTAGATTTTGATATGAGCTGGCATTTCTCCTTCCTGTTTTCATATTGCAATTGGTGGTTACAAGAATTTTAATGTCATGCTGAACTACAGAAGCTTCCCCTCCCCAATATAGGAATGTGCAAGGAACTAATGAAGGGTTTGGCAGTTATACACCTGGGATTTTATGCTGTGATTTTGTCCAATTCCCATTTCTTCCAGTGAGACTTGTGTAGGAGGAATTCCTAATGGATTGTACCCCTAGGCTGGTTGAGTTGGCTTTCAAAACTGTCAGCAGAAGATGGGGATTGCCATCAGGCTACAGTGTGATGAAAAGTGGCTGTGATCTAATTCCATTAGTTTCAATGAAACATAACATCTAATATTCATGATCCTTTAGGGCCTTGTTGACACTGGCAAAATTAGTACCCATATTTCAACAGCTGCCAACAATAGCAGAAATACTGTTGTGGCCTGGAATCGATGCATATTTTCCTGTCCTCGTGGGCCCTGATGCATATGCCAACAAATAAGCACTTGCATTTGGAATATTGGATTGTGCCAACTAGTTGGGGCAGTGTTGAAAAACTTGGCCTGAGATGCTAAGGCTATACAAGTATTATTCGTTTTGACATTGCAGTATGAAGGTGTTTTGAATGATAAGTGTCGTATTTAAGGGGAGAAATGCTGACCTTGAAATTGCTACTTTATAGATCACACACATAGTTGGTTTACAGCAGGTATGAGCAAACTTCAGCCCTCCAGGTGTTTTGGACTGTTAGGAATTGTGGGAGTTGAAGTTCAAAACACCTGGAGGGCTAAAGTTTGGGTTTACAGAATGGAAGCCGTGTTAATCTTCAAGGTGCCACAAAGTTCTTGGTTACTTTTTGAAGGTATTTATAATAGATTTGTACAAAAGTGAAAAGAGAAATAAGCATCTGTTTGTTGTTGCTTTTGATAACAATGATGGTGGTGTTGGTGGAGATTCTTGATTTGAGTGCAGGGATATTGGGGGAAGGCAAAATGAATGCATGGACACAATAAGAACTGTACTCATTCCAAATGAAATTTCCTCCACTGCACTAATGTTTAACACTGCAGTTATTTATACTCTGCTGAACATTTAGAAATACAGACATGAGAAGAAATGGAGCAGGTAAAGTTAGCAAGGGAATAGAATCACAGTAAAATACACCTGTCCTAGTATGCCCCGGTGGCGCAGTGGGTTAAACTACTGAGC